GGGGCCATAGTTCCCCCATGCTGGCTGAGGAATTCTGGGAGTTGAAGTCCAGAAGTCATGAAGGGGCCATAGTTCCCCCATGTTGGCTCAGGAATTCTGGGAGTTGAAGTCCACCAGTCATAAAAGAGCCAAGGTTGCCTACCCCTGAGGGCCTAAAGGTTAGCGCAACAATGCTAAGCAGTTCCCTAAAAGGCAAACTGGCAGAATAAAATCAGTTGGGTTCCCGCTGTCTTTGACAAAGAATTCTTGACTCCTCGTTTCACCCCCCCCAAGGAGAAGGGACTCTGCACCCCAAAGAGGACCATGCCGGGCTGCCTGATGATGGAGCCTCTGCCTAGAGGGGTTCCTCAGCTCTTCCCCTCCCCACCCATTTCCCCCAGGGATGCGCAGATGCTGGTGGAGGACGTGAAGCGGATTGTCCACGAACTGGAACAGGGCCAGCAGCTCTCCTCCATCGGCGTGGAGCTGGTGGACAACGAACTGGCCACCCTTTACATGAACAGCAAGAAATCGGAGGTAACCCTGGGGGGGGGGCTTCAAGGTACGGGGGGGCTTCTTGCTCCTTTTGTTTTCTTTGTTTATTCATCTCGGGAGCATCAGCATTAAAATAAGGCACACTATACGGCTTTAAAATTCAAAATATAAACTACAAGATTGAAATAGTTAAACAGATGATAATAATAATAATCATCATCATCATCCCAGGTCCTTGGTAAGGACGGTAAGGTAGACAAATATGCCAAATTCAGTCTGAACATCTGGCTGACTGTGCGATGATTAATAATATAATAATAATAATAATAATAACAACAACAGTAATAATAATAAAAACCATCTTGCTGACTGTGCAATGATCAATAATAATAGAGTTGGAAGGGACCTTGGAGGTCATGTACTCCAACCTCCTGCTCAGGCAGGAGACCCTTTACCATTTCAGACAAATGGCTGTCCAGTCTCTTCTTAAAAACTCACAAAACTCACAACTTCTGGAGGCAGGTTGTTCCACTGGTTAATTGTTCTCACTGTCAGGAAGTTTCTCCTTAGTTCCAGGTTGCTTCTCTCCTTGATTAGTTTCCATCCGTTGCTTCTTGTCCTGCCTTCAGGCGCTTTGGAGAAGAGCTTGACTCCCTCTTCTTTGGGGCAGCCCCTGAGATATTGGAAGACTTACTATCATGTCTTCCCTAGTCCTTCTCTTCATTAAACTAGACATACCCCTAATTCCTGCAACGGTTCTTTATATGTTTTAACCTCCAGTCCCCTAATCATCTTTGTTGCTCTTCTCTGTACTCTTTCTAGAGTCTCAACATCTTTTTGACATCATGGTGACCAAAACTGGATGCAGGATTCCACGTGTGGCCTTACCAAGGCATTGTAAAGTGGTATTAACACTTCACCTGATCTTGATTCTGTCCCTCTTGTTAATGCAGCCTAGCACTGCGTTGGCTTTTTTGACTGGAGGGATTCACTTTAACAACTGTGGCAAGAAGGGTGATAAAATGGATCAAAGCTCACTTAACAACTGTCTTGTTTAGCAATGGAAATTTTTGCCCTGGAAAATAAATCAGGGACATCACAACGCAAGGAAGTGAGAAGGCAGAAGGAGAGGCCCAGGAGTGGTGGCTGGGGAGAGTTAACCAGATCCCGAAAGTCAGAGAGACTGGACAGCTATTTGTCCGAAAGGATAGGGTTTCCTGCCTGAGCAGGGGATTGGACTAGATGACCTCCAAGGTCCCTTCCAACTTTTTTTGTTATTATCTTTTATTCATTAGACGTGAACCTCAGTCAACTGAACATTCAAGTTGGCTGGCGCTGATGGTTGACACGGGTTGCTGCCAGCATCCTAGGTGTCAAGACCGCCTCCTACCAAACACCTCCCTTCGGCCAGTCCGCTCCCACAGAGAGGGCCTCCTTAGGGTGCCGTCGGCCAGACAATGCCGGCTGGCGACCCCCAGGGGGAGAGCCTTCTCTGTGGCAGCTCCTGCCCTCTGGAATGACCTACCCCCCCCCCCGACCTACGTACAGTTGCGGACCTGCGCCCTTTTTCGCCGAGCCCTGAAGGCCCATCTATTCCGTGCGGCCGGCCTGGCGTAGTTTGATTATGTTTTAGTGGGGGTTTTGTATGGGGTATTTTAGAGCAGGCCTGTTATTTAATTTGATTTTAGAACAGAAACTTGCGTATATTTATCGTGGTTTTTATTATCGTCTGTTCACCGCCCTGAGTCCCGTAAGGGAGATAGGGCGGTATATAAATTCAATTAATAATAATAATAATAATAATAATAATAATAATAATAATAATAATAATAATAACCAGGCACCTCCTTAAAATATAAGATGTTCCGCGTAGCGCAGTTTTTTGTAGCATTGCTGGAGTTATTGCAGGAAGCTGCAGTTTCTTGATGTATTTTGTAAAGTTTTTGGACATAGTTCCCAGTGCCCCAATGACAATGGGTACCACTGTTACACGTCTCATCCATAATCGCGCAGTTTCGATGGCCAGGTCGCAATATTTTGTAATTTTTTCTTCGACTCTGGCATCTCCTGGTACAGCGATATCAATCAGCTGTACGCTTCGGTTCTCTACAACTACGATATCCGGCGTGTTGTGTTCCAAATGGCGATCTGTCTATTCGAAAGTCCCACAAGATCTTCACCCTCTCGTTCTCAACAACTTTTTCCATTTATTATTATTATTATTATTTATTTATTTTTAATTGAAAAGTTTTATAAAAATTACAATATAAACCCCTAAACCCACCCACCCCTAATCCCCCCCTCTCCCTCCCCCACTTCCCAGAGCTAAATACAGGGTTACAAATATAATAATCATAATCTAACTAACATTAACCAACTACATAAATAACCAAGTCCATAATGCGCTTTAACTCCCCTTTAAGATAAATATAATAATAATAATTAAAACATAAACAAATTAGTATCCTAATTATTAAACAATAGAATGTCCATATTGTTAAACAATACTAATACTAAAAGTAATAATAATATCATATAATTAAAACTAACAAAAATTTCACTATGATAAACTATTAATACTAATAATACTCTAAAATTTACTCATAAGCTAAATGGAACTTTTTAGTCCCATATTTATTCTGAATATAATCTATCCATCTTCTCCAAACCGAAATGTATCTTTCTTGTGAGTGATCCTTCAAATAGGCAGAAATCTTAGCCATTTCTGCTAAATTTGACACTTTAAGCGTCTGTTCTTCTATAGCAGGCAAGCAAATCCTTTTTCCAATATTGCCCTACTAATAACCTTGCAGCTGTTATCAAATTCAACATCAAATTAGTTTCTTTAGTATCACAATCTGTAATAACACCCAACAAAAATAATTGTGGAGTGAACTTTATCTTGAAAATCTTTTGAATGTTCCACCAAATCTTAATCCAAAAAGCTTTTATATTTCTACAAGTCCACCAAATATGAAAATAAGTAGCATCCAAGCTACCACATCTCCAACATTTGGGCTGTAGATTAGGATACATACAAGACAGCTTTTTAGGATCCAGATGCCATCTATAAAACATTTTGTAAAATGTTCTTTTTCTTCGACTCTGGCATCTCCTGGTTACAGCGATATCAATCAGCTGTACGCTTCGGTTCTCTACAACTGCGATATCCGGCGTGTTGTGTTCCAAATGGCGATCTATTCGAAAGTCCCACAAGATCTTCACCCTCTTGTTCTC